TGCCCGCGGGCTCCGTGGATACCAAACAAAACGGGGAATTCGTGATGCTGAGGGTCACGTGCGGCGGGGCTTCGGGTTTCACAACAAACAGATGTGAGTGCGGCAGCTGGGGGGGCGGGAAGAGTCCCCCATTACATCAGTCACGCTCCAAGGGCAGGGGGAAATACTCTCCCCTCCTGTCACACACGGGCATCTTTTCAGCTTTCCCATCCCTAAAGCGTCGAGCCCGGCCCCGAAGCTCGGATCGAGGCATTGCGAGGGAGCGCGCTTGTCCCCATCGCTTTAAATCTGCAATGCGGGATTTCCAGGACACCGGCAGAAAGGGAGGGGGGTGGGGGGGAGCTACCGCTTCAAGTTAAAAAAAGCACCGCATATAAAAACTGCATATCCACACACGGAAACATCCGACACTGGCGAAGCCTGCATGTAAACAGATCGCCCTCTAGGAAAAAAAAAAGCCAAACCCAAACGCTTTTTCCAAGACAGGGAAACATAAACTGCTGCGTCACTGCCTGGAATCGCTCCTTCCCTACGCAACCGAACACCCCCGAGCCGCTTCGGGCCAAAGGTTTCCGTTACCGACAGACCCGACACGAGCCCCGGCGGCAGAGGGGCCGCCCGCCAGAACGGGGTGTGCGGCAGCTGCCGGGGGGGTGGGGGGCATCGCCCCGGGCGGGGCGCGGGCAGGGCACGTACCGTCGAAATCGGTGTAGACCGTGTCCTTGAGGAGGGCCCCCGAGCCGAAGTCGATGAGCTTCAGCTCGCCCGTCCGGAGGTCGACCAGCAGGTTCTCGTCCTTGATGTCCCGGTGCACCACGCCGCAGCCGTAGCAGTGGCGCACCGCCTCCAGCACCTGCCGGAAGAACCCGCGGGCCGTCTCCTCGTCCAGGGCGCCCTTCTCCGTGATGAAGTCGAAGAGGTCCTTCACCAGCTCGGGCCGCTCCATGATGATCAGGTACCCGTCGGGCCGCTCGTACCAGTCCAGCAGCTTGATGACCCCTCTGAAGCCGGAGCCCACCTTCTTCAGGAGGACGATCTCCAGGGGCACCATGACGCCGCTC